GTATGCATTGAAAAGATAAAGGGAATTGCCAGATGCGAAACAGAGTCGAGATACAGCGGCGGTCATAGGCCTCAAACGCGTTCGAAAATCTAGACATACTGTTTTTGGGTTATCCAAATCCCATACGCCTTCTGGAACAAATTTCAACTATTTAAGTACTGAATTTGAACCTATATTATAAAACCACATTTCCAGCAATTTTTGAAAACGGCTAGTGATCCTGTATCCTGTGAAAGTGATTTTAAAACTGAAACGTATTTTTGAAACGAACGCCACGAATACAAAAAGACAGTACTTCATCATTCTGCTTAAACTACGCTGTCCTAGAAATAGGGTTAATCGCGGATGCAGCACCTGAAAGAAATTAGAAAAAATTTCTCAGTTATGGCTATCGAAACTTATACCAAAAATGCATTTCAGCATTTTCCAATCTGTTTTATTTCACTGAAATGATGCCGATTTAGGAAAAATAAATGATCATTGTGATTTCTCTGATGAAATAAAAATATTATTAAAACGAAAAAAACACTGCGGCCACCCAGGTTATCGATACCCAAATTAGTGGTTTTACTGGACTGCTTTCAAAAAATTGAAAGTGATAAATAATTGAGATTTGCAGACGCCATCATGAGTTTTTACACTGAGTCTGAAGGAATCAAGCCGCTAACTATATGATCGCTGCTCTACATCTAACTCGTGTCTTACTGCTGTAAATGTAAATTTGCATGAAAAAAGACACCGTTCATCCACTGAAATGAACTAGCTGTTTTGGTTCCCGAGTTAGCAATTTTTCGTTAAAAATTTTAAGTGCCCATACACGGACTCAGATGTACGTAAAATTTACTACTATGCTCCTGGAATAGTCTAGACAAGGAACCACTGGCAAAATTTCAGCACTAAACTTATTTGGTTGCTGAGTTGAAATACCGGGATAGGCGCACAATCACACCACATGCAAACACAAACATGCATATACACTATGGGTCGTCACAATATGTGTCTTAGCACCCGCATAAACATGCAAAAACATAAGATGGAGCATCGCACGTGAGGTGAGAACATGCTCCAGAAACTTCAGCTTCTCAGTTCCACTAGTTATTGAGTTGTGCGGATGAGAGAAGTGCGAATACACACGTACACAGCGATAATCCCTCACCAATATGCGCTTTTTGCATAAATATACTTAGTAGAAAGCGTACCGGCTGCCCGTACGAGGATGCGTTTTTTGCACAGTTTCCCCGCAAGTTTTTTTCGCCAGTGGAACGTTCTTCCTGGCAAATACTTCTCTTGGGACTGGCCACCACGACTGTTAGAAATTATTGCAATGACTTCCAATCCATGCCCAGAAGATCCAGCGCTCTGGATGCTTCGGCTGCAGAGTTACGTCAAATTTCACGCGTTCGTACGTGAGCGGCTACGTGAATGCTTTCGTCGCCCGCAGTTGCTCAAACGCGGTCCTGGATAACGCCCGGAAAGTTTCAGGACTCTAGCTGCCTTGGTTGCAAACTGCTCGCACGTGAATGGCAACGTGGATGCTTTCATCGCTCGCGGTTGCTCAAACACGGTCATGCGTAGCGCTCAGAAAATTTCGGCACTCCAGCTCCTCTGGTTGCGGAGTGGGAATGCTGAATTTAAAACCTTTGGAATAGACGCTGCCAAGGAACATCTCTGTGAATTTCCAGCCTCTTAGCATGAGCCGTTCCCGAAAACGCTTTCCCCTCAAAAAAACTTTCACGTGCCCCTACGTGAGAACCACGCGGATCTGAGCGCCCATTTTGAGGATACGAGCCCGCACGTACGCGTAGACTAAGTCACCAAATTTTCAGCCTTGTAGCTTTTGTGGATCTCGAGATGAAAACTCGTTACAGACGAACACACAGACACACACATACATACATACATACACACAGACACACACACACAGACAACCCCTCGACAATATGCGTTTTTCCACTGCATAGCTGCAAAAAAACGCATAACAAATACGTATAAAACCGCATAGTAAAATGAACAGAGAATGATCAGATCCTAGAAAGCATCGTAAAGCATAATTAAAAATAACCTTTATTCCTGAGAAAATACAAAAGTTGAATGTGTGAACTCGATGAGATTGAAACAAAAACTTTTTCATCCAAATAAGCAATATCATCCACTGGCATGGAGAGCCGCAGCAACCTTTCGCATGCTTTCAAACGCGCATTGTCCAAGAAATTGAACATAAATATCCTGAAACAACTTATGTTGTTATCACCGTGATTGTCCGTCATCACTTAAACAAATTGACCTCAATTACTAGTTCCAATACTTGCCAGAGCGCTGTCCCTAAGCAGTTAGCCATAACTTTAAATTATATAAATTTATGGAAGAGATTATATAAAATTATAAAAATTCCTTCTGCGAGTCAACCACAAATAACCCTCAGCGATTCTTTTAACGACTGATTAAGAAAGCAGGAAAGCTATCTTTTCTATTTTACTGTACCTGCCAGTACGGTCTAATTCTGAATGCAGGAAATTAGCTGATCATTCACTCTTTTCCATTCAAATTTTTAAAAAGTTTCGGAAATGCTCACTCGCCATCTTCGTTACCAATCCAAATGGTTGATTGAACATTTCTTCG